ACCATGCTCTTTCTCCTCTCCTGGTTATTTAATGACATTTTGATATTACATCCTAGGTTTCTGAGGCTCTGTTCATTTATTTTTCTAATTTTTTCTCTCTGTTGTTCACAAATAAATTATTTCTTTTTCTATAATTCCAAGCTAATTAGCCATTTATATGTATTTATATTTTGAGACAGGGTCTCACTAAGTTGTTGAGGTTGGCCTTGAATTTTCAATCCTCCTGCCTCAACTTCCCAAACAGCTGGGATTACAGGAGTGTACCACTGTGCACCCAGCTCTTTTATTTCTTTGTATCTTTCCATTCATTTCCAGTGTTTACCCTTACTTGTCATATGTTTACTATAACAATTCTTAAGTCAGATAATAATGTCAGATACTGGCATTCTTGGATTGTCTCTCCCATGAAAATGAGATTTTCTTCATATGCCAAGTAATTATGGTTACATCCTGGACATTCTGAGTATTACAAGACTCTGGTTCTTGTTTAAATCCTATGGAGAATGATCATATTTTTGTCTTAGCAGGCAATCTACCTGATTGTGTTCAGGCTGCAACCCTATGAGGTTGTAGTTTTAAAGTCATTTCCAATTTCAAAGTCTTTCCAGTGCTATTTGGATCTTTCCTCTGTGTGTGCCACCCAGTTGGCAGTCTGGAACTTGGATAAGGTTCTGTTAGTTCCATTCTTAATGTTTTCAGAATCAGATCCTTGTATGACCAGCTTTGGAAATGAGCCCAGAAATTTGTAAAGAGCTTATAAACTCAGAGGTCATTAATGACTCTCAGAGGTCATTTTCCCAAGCTTCTCCCTCTCCATGAGCTCCTCGATACTTTATAGATCCCTAGGGCTTCTCTTTTCAATCCTCTGGCCAAATAGCTGGGGCTCCATTCACCCGACTCTGCCACATACTTTCACACACGAGCCTTGCCCTGGACCAAAAACAAGACAACAGGGTTTCATCCCATCCTCTTAGGCCCAGAGCTTCTCTGAACGAAGAGGAGGATTCTTCTCCTTCAAAGTTTTAGGCATCTATGGCCTCTGCTGCTACTACTGTCCTTACTGGAAGATCCCTTTCCCATTCCTCAAGCCTAGTCTAGAGGGTTTCTCTAGACTCTCTGTCCATATTGATGCTTACCTAGGGTTTCAGACTGCAGTAAGACCAGGCCAGGAAATGCCAGAACAGGGAAATGAAGGTAAACACTGCTGATTCAATCAATGGTATTTGTATGTATATGGTGCTTGGGATCAAACCCAGAGCCTTGAATATGCCAGGCAAGTACTCTAACACTGAGCTATGCCCCAGCCTTTTTTCTTTTTTCCTTTCTTTCTTTTCTCTTTTTCTTTTCTTCTTCTGCTTTTTCTTTTGTTTAAAGAAAGGGTCTCACTATGTAGCCCAGGAGGTCTCAAATTCCTGGGCTGAGGTGATCCTACTACCTCAGCTTCCAGAGGAGCTGGGACTACAGCCACATGCCACCACACACAGCTTTGGCAGGACTTTAAATTCTGGACTCCTCCAATCGATCACTATTATTTGCTTTTCAAAATTATCAAATAACTGTACCGTGCATTTTGCCTAAATTTTTACCTTCATTCAATGGGATGTACAGGGGGAAGTGTGAGAATTATAGCTGCCATAACCATGGTATATAATTTAATTTTTCATTCCTGGAATTCTAGCTGGCTTATTTTCTTTTTTGCAGTATTGAGGGTTGAACCTATGGTCTTGCTCATGGTAGGCAAGTAGTCTACCTCTGAGTTGTACCCCCTGCTCTTTTTATATTTTGAGACAAGGTCTAAGTAGTTGCTCACACTGGCCTCAAACTTCCAATCCTTCTGTCTTAGTCTCCTAGCTGAGATTACAAGCATAAACTACCATATCTGACTACTTTATATAGTTAATAGTTTCCAGTCTTGATTTTTTACTTTCTTGAATATAGAAGTAGAGTTTTAGATTTTTTGGGTTTTTTTTCTTTTTTTTTCTTTTCTTTTCTTTCTTTTTATTTTTTTTTTCAGTACTTGAGACTGAACCCAAGGCCTCAGCTTGAACATGCTAGGCAAATACTCTACTGCTGAACTACATCCCCAGCCCTTTCTATTTTTTTATTTTGAAATAGGGTCTCGCTAAAATGCCAAGACTGGCCTGGATTGCAATTCTCCTGCCTCAGCCTCCCAAGTAGCTAGGATTACAAATGTGTGCCACTATGTCTGGCAAGTTTTGTAGCCCATGTCTGATAATTCCAAAAGTTGGAACTCCGTGGGCTTGTTTTTATTGTCTGCTGGGATAGTTCTTTTCATGTTTTCTTTTCCTGCTCATCTTAGTTTGGTGGTAAATATTAATCTTGAAACTCTCTTTTTAAAGTAATATGAGGAATAAGATGATACTGAGACCCTTCAGATATGATTTTTGATTGCTTCTGCTAGGGTCTGTTGGTACTAGATGTCTTGAACCACCTTGATCTAGTTTCATAAACTGAGATACTACTTAGTCATCCAGATGATTCAGAGTGCATCAATACCTCAATTCCTGGTTCCCCTTATTTCTATGGTACAAAATTCTGGGTCCCAACCCAAAGCCCAAGGGGCCTGTCAGGGCTCCCATTCTTGAGATCATAGACTCCATTTTTTAATAATTTTTTAAAAATTAAAATCACACAAGGTTTTGCAGAAGTAGTGAAATCAATTCAACCTCTCAGATGCCTGCAATACCCCTGCCGGGGAAAGGGTGGGACTGGCACATCCTACCCGGGCCCTGCCTGGAGGATGAAGCCACCCTGGTGTGGGGTTCCCCATACCGAGTGAAGTGAGATTCACACACAGACTTGGCAATAAGCCTACTCACTTCCTAGGGGTCTACAAGGGTCATCTCTCCAGAAAGGCCCTGCAGTCCAACATGTAGGCTGTTGAGGTCTGTAGACAAGTCAAAATAACACGTGGTATTTTGCCAGAGAAATGTTAGAGTTCGTAAACAAGTCTGGATGGTGCCTGGCAAAATGCCAGAGGGAGTGGTTTGAAAAGTAACAAAAGTGAGCCATTAAGTGTTGAGATTCCTTATTGGTTGACTGATGTATCTAGTTTATGCTAATTAGATAAGCTGTGCAAAATGTATAAATAGCTCCGTGGTCCTACAATAAACGGCTTCCATTCCTGCTGCAACAATCTACAGAAGTTATTCGTCACCCCCTGGTTATTCTGCTGGAGCCGGACTGCGGCAGTAGGCTGTCAGGCATGTGGAGCAGTCCCAGCAAGCTTTCCCTGGGGCCCCAAGAATTTGGCACACCAGTACCCCATATTACCTGAGACCAAGCACAAGAGTCAAGTAAGCAATAGAGTCCAGAGTCCCGTCCGAGGTCCTTGAGGTTTGCCCCACTCCAAAGCCCTCTGAAATAACTGTTTCCACAGTCTGACCTTAGCATCCACTGAAATAAAGCCATGTCCCTGGTCACCCTTCAACATGGGCTCTCCTTAACCTCCACCAAGCACTCTTTTCCCTTTGCTCTCTCAGGTGCTGTATCAGCTTGTCCCTCATGTGTTTACTGTTTCAAGAAACCATCTGTCCTCTGTCCACACACTTTTGAAACACTACTGCCCAATCTTCTTCCTGTTCTTCAGAAAGCCTCTATTTCCCCAGCCCAGGAATCCTGCTTCCTCTACCCTTAGAAAAAATCTATCTTAGTTCCTGCCAAAATCAGAAGCTATCTCCACTTAGGATTGCCAGATTTAGTAAAAAAAATCACAGGACACCCAATTCAATCAGAATTTCAGATACACAATCGATAATTTCTTATTATAAATATGTCCTCCCCAAATAAATAAATAAATAAATAAATAAATAAATAAATATGTCCCTGCACGCCTATAATCCCAGCTACTGGCTCAGTGGTTAAGCTCCCTGGGTTCAATCCCTGGTATCAAGAAATTAAATTTAAAAAGTAAATAAATTTTTAAAATAAAAAAAAAGGCTGGGGACAAAGCTCAGTGGTAGAGCGCTTGCCTAGCATGCATGAAGCCCTAGGTTCCCTTCCTAGTACCACTAATCAAACAAATAAACAGATAGATAAATATGTTCTATCTATTTTATCTACTTCACCATCACTCTTGAAACTCATAAGAACTATTGTCTTCTTTCTATCATGCTGTACAACACCCGCTCCCTAAACCCCCGGGAAATCCTGCCCACCCTCTGCCCCTGGAACATAAAACATGAACCCTACTGTTAATCTTATCAGTCCTGCTCCTCCAGTTCCTTAGTGTCTAGACCCATTTGCCTCTGCCCTTAACAAGTGGACACCCCAATACCCCTGCACCTCACACAAAACCTCCTCTTTTCTCTGTTGTCTACCTTCTCCCCAGAAACTGATGGTACTCTTGTTCCCAGAATATTAATATTTTATACCAACTGCTATTTATTTAGTTCTTAATGTGTCAGGCTAAGCACCTCAGTTCTCACAACAGCCCTATGAAGTTCGTATCATTAATATGATTTTATGACGGGCCCAATATCACAAGTTGGTAAGGTAGTTTGGAGATACCCGACTCTAAAACCTTACATAAGCTCAGATTAAACCAGCATGTCCTAGACATTCAGTATGTTTAAAAATCTAATGAGCATTCAGGTTGAGACCTGCCACTGGACACTTTACACACTCCTGCTGCTCAGTCCCGCCCCCCATGGAGTGGGGGGGACACCTCTCCACTGGCCCATTCTTCCCCAGAGAACATCTTCCTTCCCTCTTCTGAGGCACAGCCCCCTTGGCTGTGAACTCCCACATCTCAAAAGAGAAAGACACAGTCAAGCTGTGCTGCCTACATGTCTGGCAAGTGGAGATTGGCTGAGCAAGGTTCAAGCCTATGGTCCCCTGCTCCTGGCTGGCACTCCCTTGCCTCCCCACCCCCTTCTATAAATAGTCCACTGCTCACTGGCTGCCAAGCTGTTACGGCAAGAGTTTCCATGAGGTCAGCTTCCCAGAGCAGCCTCCAAGTACCCAACACCCACACTCACCTCTCCTGGAGTCCTGTGGCCTGCTCGCCCCTGCAAGGGGCTGTCCCGAGTGCCATGTCTCCGGCGGGCAGGGGGTGTTGGCACGGGGGCAGAAGCCTGAGACGGGGCCTTCTCTAAGTTCTGGGCCCCATGTTCTGGAGCTTGACCCAAAGAAGAAATGGGCTTGCTGTCAGCGGCGGGCTCGCCTTTGGGCTTTGGAGGGGCAAATCTCTTCCTGTTGAAAGGCCGAGCTGGCTGGGGAGCCAAGGAGGGTGTAGGCTGGCCAGAGGTGGCAGGTGCCCCCTCACCTCTTGCCTTAATGGGTACCTTCCCCAAGGTACTGTTTCCAGATGCCTTGACACTTGGGGGTGGGGACTCCTCCTCCCCCTGAGGCCCGATAGCTTGAGAGTTCTCCATGTACATGTCCTTCAGGGAGAAATACACCTGCTGGTCTGCACTTGGGGCTGGGACAGGGGCTGGGGGCTGGGAATGGGTTAGGGCAGAGGCATCCTGGGCCTTGTCTTGAGTGCCCACAGTAGAGGCTGGCTGCCTGATGCTATCTGTTCCAGAAGACTCAGGTCCCCGTGCCATCCTGCCTCTAGGATGGGTCTGGACCTCTTCCATGTCCATGGGACCCTGTATCCCACAAGGACCAGGCTTGTTTGAGCTGGAGACAGAGTTTTCTGAAGAGTGGTGGCTTCGGGCTGCCTTCTCTAATTCTGGCTTCTGCCCATCTGGCTTAGATTTCTCATCTTTTCTTTTCTTCTTGGCCCCAGACTCCTTTTGGGGGGCTCTCTGAGGCCCCAGCTCCATGGCCTCACAGATGTATGTCAGCAAGCCATGTTCCCCATCTTCCCCATTCTCGGGGGCAGGCTCCCCATTGGTGGGCACCTCTCCAGGAGCAAAACTGTTGACCAGACCCAGTCCAGGGTGCTCAGGTTCACTCTCTCCTTCCTGCCAAGCTGCCGAGGTCCCATCTTCAGCCTCCCTGGTTGGGGCTGAGGACACTGGCACTTCAGCCCCGCTTAGTCGCCGCTTTCGCTGGAAGCGGTCAGGGCTGAGCTTGCGCAGGGTGTCCGCCTCGTCTGCAGCATCCTTCCCATGCTTCCAGCTCTGCTCAATCTCCCGCAATTTGGCTGCAGCCTTGCGCTTCAACTTGGCAAACCAGCGCTGGTGGATCTTGTACTCTGTCATGGTGCCCACTTCCAGGACCCCTGAGCAGGACACAATGCCCTTGGAGTTCCGGGCAGAGGCCTGGTAGATGGCGGCATCTTCTTCTCGACACCTAGAAGTAGGAGCATGAGGTGCCACCCCCACCCCGGAGGTGACAGCCCCCCCCACACAGCTCCCCACAGCCAGAATCTTCCAGAGCTGAGCATGCGCCCCCTCCCCATCACCAGACGGGCCCTGGGTGCCACATCCCATCTCAGATGTCACCACAGCCCTCACCCTCTGTTAGAATTGAAGGAACTGAGGCCACAACAAGAAGGTGGCAGCTGACCAAGTTCATGCTGTCCCAGAAGGGATTAGATTAGACTTGGGGCTCAGGAGAGCTCCCTTCAGAAGCAGGTGACCAGCGCAGCCCCTTGTGAAGTAACGATGACAGAGTTGCTTTTTTTGGCTGCTGACCTCATGGAAAATGTGGGTCAGGATCTCCTCTGGTTGCACTCAGCTCTGTGACTGTCAGAAATACTCCCACCCTGGCCTTAGGAGATCCCGGCCACTGGCAGGCAAACAGTTATCCAGGTGGTTCAACTCAGTGGCAGACCTGCCTCTCGTTTCAGATAGTGCCTGGGTACCTCCACCCAGCCTGCTCCATCTCTGAGGGCACAATCCAGGTGCAGGACCCTCAGGAGGGCAGAGAGTGCAAAACCGGCCACTCTCCCTCACCTGTACAGCTGCAGTGTGTGACGGTTACCCTGATGAGTGATCTCATATTTTGGCAAACCACAGTATCGGTCCAGTTCTATGTCATCCTTGTACCAAGTCACCTCTGGTTCTGGGTATCCTGAGAAAGAAGCAGATTGGGTTTCAGGAAGGTGAGTTTCAAAATAGTGGGAGGAGAGAAAAGGAAGCCAGGATTTCCCCAGAGCACCTGAAAAGAACTGGACAGGACCACCTGCCTCAGGCCTCCTGGAAGCACAGGGCCCTCTGTGTGACTCAGCTTATTTTTAGAAATTAGAAAAAATTGTGAGAGCTGAAAACATTTACACTTCCAGCTAAAAGGGAAATATGGAGGAGAAACTTCTTAGCTTCATGTAGAAATGGGAGTGAAGAATTTCCAAAAATCGTTGACTGGTAGTAATGAGCTCTCTTTCTATGTGGCCCATTTTACCTCCTCAAATGTAGTAAGGGCTTCATTCTCAGAGGTCTCCCCAAAATTCCACTACTACCATCAATGCCAAGAGCCCTCCTCTTTTCATTACAAGTTCCTGGGCTGCATTATTTGACAACACAACTAAAGCATCCATCTGTCCATCCATTCATTCATTCATTCATCACCCATCTATACACCCTTCCACACCTATCTATCTACCCACTCAGTCACTATAGTGAGACTGACTGAGGTGTCTACCCAGCCACCCACAGAGAAGAGATCCCAACTATTACAGTCAAATGTTTCTTGCCCGCCTGGCCACAGCTGATCAGCCCAGTAGTAGACATCAAAAGAACTAATTGAATCCAATCCTTTGACCTAGGATTTGAGAAACAGGACCAAGAAACAGTCTACCATTGTGTCTAGGAATATATCTCAAAGGGGCAAAGTAGTTATGCTTTGCCACATGAACTAAGAAGTAGATAAAGCTGGTCTTCAGTGTGATGGGAAAATGAAATTGACATTCAGGATAGAATAGGATAGAATCAGAGCTTCCAAAAACTGCTTCCAAATACTGGTTCCATTCCTTGTCTGCACACAGTCTGACCAATGAATTCTGCTTCATTTCTTGAGCTACCTCCAACTGATTAGCAACACTTGTTAGAAATCAAAGACTCCTAACATTCATTTACTTAAACACATACAGCATGTAAGCCAGGGACTCTGTTCTCAGGGAATTTATCTTCCTTTAGAAAAAATAAGATATGTGCCCACGCATGGGAGTAGTGTACCTGGCACCTGCACATGCTCTGTCTTCCCTCCTGTCTGTGGACAAACCACACTTTTGTCAAGAGCAGACCCTCACTGGACTCCACCTCCTCTCGTCAATCAAGGCCATCTCTCCAACAATCGTTCCTGCTCTCTCCTACATCATCCAAATTTTCTTCTTTATTACATCATTTCTGTCTACATATAAGCCTGCTAAAGTGTTGTCCTTCTTTATAAAGAATTTCCTTTGGTCCCACATCCTCCTTAGTGCCTGCCCCCATTTCTCTGCTTTCTCCTTTACAGCAAAAGTATTTTTAAAAGTTGTATATTAATTGGGCGCCTACTAATCCCAGTGACTAGGGAGTCTAAGGCAGGAGGATCCCAGGTTCAAGGCCAGCCTGGGCAATTTAGAAAAATCCTGTCTCAAAATAAAAAATGAAAAGGGCTATGGGGCTGGGGATGTAGCTCAGTGGTAGAACAAGTGCCTAACATGTGTAAGGCACTAGGTTTGATTCTCAACACCACATAAAAATAAATAAAGGTATTATGTCCATCTACAACTAAAAAAAATGTTTTTTTTTATAAAAAAGGGCCATGGATATAGCCATTATGTAGGCATAAGAATTGGCCATCATATTCAGTAATGCCAAGTGGGTGACCTTGGCAGGAGCAATTCTGATGCAGTGATGAGTGAAAAGCCTGGTTGGAAGAGGGGAGTTAAGATAGCAAGTATAGGGCTGGGGATGTGGCTCAAGCGATAGCATGCTTGCCTGGCATACATGCGGCCCAGGTTCGATCCTCAGCACCACATACAAAGATGTTGTTTCCGCTGAAAACTAAAAAATAAATATTAGAAATTCGCTCTCTCTCTCTCTCTCTCTCTCTCTCTCTCTCTCTCTCTTTAAAAAAAAAGATAGCAAGTATAGACAAATTTTTATTTCTTTTTTTGCAGTACAGGGCTTGAACCCAGGGGTGCTCTACCATTGAGCAACACTCCCAGCCCTTCTTTATTTTGTATTTTATTTTTCACTAAGCTGCTTAGGACCTCACTAAGTTGCCCAGGCTGGCCTTGAATTTGTGATCCTCCTGCCTCAGCCTCCCAAGCTGCTGGGAATTATAGGCATGAGCCACTGCACCCAACTGATCCTTTTTCATTCCTTTATTTTGCTCACATCTACTCCCTTAGAAATCACATCGGCCCTCCCTTCAGAATAGATCCCAAGTGTGATCACCTTGCCATTCCCCACCCAGCCTCAGTGTGGTCCATATCACCATCATCTCCACTTGGATATCTGCAATAACTCAGCTGATCTCACCACTCCCATCCTGACCTCTTTTCAGCTCATTCTTGGCACAATAGCCAGAATAAGCCTTTTGAAATAGAGTCAGCTCATGGCATACCTCTGCTCAAAACCTGACAGCTCCTGTCTCACCCAAGCTCTCCTGGTAAGGGCCTGAGTGCTGCAGTAGCCTCATTTCCTACCACACCCCAGTCATGTGGTCCCACTGTTCACCTAACATACCACAAAAGCATCACAATTCAATTCCCACGGGTCTCTGTTCTTCTGTTACCTCCTCATAGAGGCCTTCCTTATGCCCTGGGCAAAATATGCCCCCCCCCAGAACTTCCTATCCACCCCCAACTTTTTTTTGTCAGTACTGGGGATTGAACCCAAGAGTATTCATATTCTTCTGAGATACCTCCCTAGCCCTTTTTATTTTTATTTTGAAATAAGATCTTGCCAAGTTTCCCAGGTTGGCGTTGAACTTGCAATCAACCTGCCTCAGCCTCCCAAGTAACTGGAATTATAGGCATGCACACTGCACACAGCTCTGATCCTGGTTAATGTTTATTTGTCTTCAAAGAATACATTGCTACCTGATATACACTATGAGTTTGTTAGGTTATGAGCATCCTGCCCAACACTGTCTCCCACCCACTGTGGAATATCAGCTCTGTGACAGAAGGGATTTATCTGTGTTATTCACCGCTGTGTCCCCAGTTCCTAGAATAGCACCTGATATGGAATCAACACTCATTAAATATTTATAGATGAATACATAAGCACCGTCCAAAGAGCTCAGGGTGCAGGGAAGGGAGCAATCAACTCCAGCTAGGAAATCAGGGAAGGCTTTTGGAGTAAGTGGCATTTGAATTAGACTTAAAGAATAGGCAGAATTTCAGAAAATTTGGGTTTAGCACCTCCAATCAGTTCTAACACCATCTGTACTTCTCCTTCATAGCTAATTATAATATTGTAATAGACTATTTCCTTGTCTCTTTCTCCTGCTAGTCTCAGGTCCCATGTGGGCAGGAATTTAGCCTGGTTAACCTAACATGGTACCTGGGACATAGTAGTTACTTACTTAAACCTGTTGGATGAGTGAGTAAATGAGTAAGAAAATGAGTGAGCAAACAAGAAGTGGATGGGAAGGGCGTGCTTGACAAAAACCCAACAGCAACAGAGTGTGAGAGGGAAAGCAAAGGGCACTCTGAGGAACTGTGTACAGGAGCAGGGAGCAAGGGAGGCAAGGCTGCAGCTGGCTCCACCAGGATAAACTTCAGGCAGCCCTGGCTGTAAAGTGAGCCCCATGTTTCCACTGTGGTTAAAGCCCCTGGTTACATCACTCTCTCTCTCTCTGTGTGTGTGTGTGTGTGTGTGTGTGTGTGTGTGTGTGTTCAGGGCCAGCACAGGTGTCCTCACCATCCCCTGGAATGATCTCATCCCTGCAAGGGCCCAGCTCAGTCTCCCTGCCCCCATGACCTGCCCAGCACGCCTCAGCCTCCAGGGCATCTGAGTCCAGAGAAGCTGGGGGAGGGAGGAGGGGCTGGGCAAGGAGAGGGATGTTGAATGGACCGCGCAGCCCCACGGGCCCCATGGCTGGGTCCTCAGCCCCCATGCCACCCTCTTGTGCCTCTACACAAAGTGCAGGTCAACAGCTTAGGGCTTCATAGTGACATTGGACTTGGAAGCAAATTTATTTGGGAGAAAATACTGCCTTGTCCCATCTATATTCTAAAATAAACAAAAGCAGGGGGGCAGGTCTGGGTGCTTTTCGCTCAGCTGCTCACACATGCATGCTTTCACATGTGTGCTTATAGGAAGGTGTTTACACACACATTTGGCTCTGGGCTGCAGTACCATGTTGGTTCCTGAGCATGTGGCCCTCCCTCTGCCCTTTCCCACTCCGTGATCTCTGTTTCACAGCCAGCAGGTTTGACTGGGGAAGCCAACTCAGAGATCTGCAGTCTCACTCCAATGGATCCTGGTTAAGAGAAGCTCAGATTCAGAAGAAAAGGAAATGAAAATTTAAAGTTTTCAAAGAACTTTCAAATACATAATTTCATTTGGGCCTCAGAATAACTCTGTGCAAAAAAAAAAAAAAAACTGTTCACATTTACTGAAGACTTACTGTATGCCAGATACTGAGATGAATGCTTTCCATGTATACAGGACTTTTTTTTTTTTTAACCCAAGAGCTACATCCCTAGCTCTTTTTAAAATTTTAAATTTTGAGACAGGGTCCTGCTAAATTATGCCAAGGCTGGTCTTGAACTTGCAATCCTCCTGCCTCAGCCTCCTGGGTGGCTGGGATTATAGGTGTGTACTTATAGGACTAGCTCTTTTTGTGTATTATCATCTAATTCTTACAAAAATTCAATGAGGAATACGCTGTTACAAACCCTCAATTTAAGGAAGAGGAAATCAAGGCTCATGAAATTAAGGCTCCTGTCCCAAGTCATCTGGCTAGTAAGTAAAAGAGCCAGAATTTAAATCTCTCTCTGCTATAAAATGGCAGGTGTTTTAATCCCTACTTTACAGAAAAGGAAAAGGAGGCTCAGAGAAGCTAAGCAATGTGCAGGGTCACACGGCAGCATGTGACATAGCCCCAGGTTTCCTTTTTCTTTTTCCAGTGCCCTT